AATCAACGTTTGTATTTTATTCAGACAGATATTGGAACATGAATCTATTACTTAAAACCATTAAAACAAAATTTAACATAAGATGTACTTGATAAAAACGGCGAAGGTCTGTCAAGAGCAAAGGTCTGCAAGAGCACAAAACAAGATTATTATGCAATTTTCTTAAATATGAGTGGTATTATTGTTCAAATTCGTACTCGAAGAGACAGTTTAATATCTGAAGGTGTCTACAAAGCAGTTTTTTTGCAAAGAAATCGGAAGGTTTATCAAGAGAAAGGACCCAGAATCAGGAATCCACTACATTGAATTTCTTCATGACAGCGTTCAAACCCGCATGCCCTAAAGAGTAAAGGGGTTTACGGGATAAACAGAAAGTAAATGTTTTTTTCACATTAACAATATTTGCCAGATCTTTGACCTTTTGACTTGTTTCTACCTTTCCAAACTTGAAAAAAACACCTTTCAGAAGGAAAAAACAAGTCCAGGAGATCATTGGATCTGCCATTTTCCAGTATACTAAGGGTTATACCCAAAAATGAGTTCTAAAATCAATCAGAAATTGGATAAGAAATGTTACGGACATGTGTTGGAATTAAAAGAGATTAATAAGTAAAACCATGAAGACTTAATCATTGAAAAGCGTCGTTTGCTTCTTTCTGAGCCCCAATGACATTATTTATTGAACGCCCCTCGTATATCAATTTGTTTTGATAAAAACCCACTTTGTAACACAGAAGCCTTAAATTTTGTATTAAGAATCTTGATCCATTCAATTATATATTCACCAAAGCCAAAATATTTTAGTACTTTATATATAAAAGTCCAAGAAATAGAATCAAAAGCTTTTTCAAAATCAATCAGCACAAGTAATCCAGGTATATTTTTTCGGTCAGAATATTCCATTAAATCATAAATAAATCTGGTATTCTCTCCAATGTATCTTCCTTTTAAAAAACCTGACTGAGTGTCTGAAATAAGATAATCTAATGTGGATTTAATTCTAAAACTTAGACACCCTGAAATTAATTTGTAAACCACATTTAGTAGAGTAATGGGTCGCCAGTTTCTTAAAAATTGTCTAGGTTTGTCTCCCTTTGGCAAACATGAGATAATTCCCAATCGTTGAGAAACAGGGAGCATCTTATTTACAAAAATACAGTTTATTGACTGACATATAATTTTTTTCAAATCCCTCCAGAAAAATTAAAAAAAATTCAACTGTATATCCATCACTTCCTGGGGACTTATTGTTTTTCATATTTTTTAAAACTTCAAGGATTTCATCTTCAGATATTTTTTTTTCTATTGATTCCGAGATGTGTTTATCTAATTTTGGAACATCATGATTTTGAATAATATTTTCAAGATCTAACTCTAAAAGTTCAGAGTCCTTGTTTGCGTATAGGTTTTGGTAGGAAATTTTTACTTCTTCAAGTATTTTTGTTTGATCATAGATAATACAGTTTTCTTCAAGTTCGAGTTTTTTGATAGTTTTATTTAAATAATTACGCTTTTCCAAATTGCAAAAATATCTTGTGGGTTTCTCCCCATCCTCGACCCATTTAGCTCTTGATCTTATGACATCTTTTTTGAAATCTTAGAAAAGGTCTTATAAAAGTTGACATTTGTACTCTACGTAGGGTCGTTCAATAAGTAATGCAATACTCAGTATATCATAATAAATGTTGAGGCATTTGATTTTATTTTTTCATATTTGAAAAGTTCTATTTAAGATCTACTAAACACAGAAAACCCCACGAATTTCCATTGTGTCTTCGCAAAGAAATTCTTTTTTAAAGTAAGCATGGTCACTGCACTGAGCTGAAAACTGTTTATAAATGATCTCCGCCAAGAAGATGAAAATAAGTGCGTATTTGAAAACTGCGCTTTTTACATAAATCGCCGCAAACCTCATACTTAAGATAACATTTTTATAAGTGGAAAAAAAATAATCTTCAAGGCTGTATACCTTTTCAGATGGATTCAATAATTCAGAAGAAAAAAAACAAGGGTTCAAATATAACAGTCAATATGGTCACTTGAAATTTGTGGGGACATCACAAAATATCGACTTTATTTGCCACATGTATTTTGAAAATGCTTTATTTACATGGAAAGACATTGTTAAAATACTTCTCATTAAATCGTCACAGCATTTTATAGATTTCAGACAAAGGAACACCATATAACAATATTTCAATCAGATAGGTGCCCAATTTCTACAAATGTCCAAAAGTAATATTCGTTAAATGAGCATACGGTTTACTTAAAAACATATTTTTAAACAAAATTCAAGAATTGATAAACTTGCTTAATGTATGACGAAACATTGGTGCTCTTATTATAGTCGTAAAATATGATTAATGATAAAAAAAAAATGAGGAATCAAAGAAAAGGGTGACATTTAATTAGGATAAAAAGAAGTAATGGCTGCAAACATGTTTTATTAGTTTCATGCATTTAAATATGTCCATTAAAACATGAACATGCATCCAAATGAAGGATTAGCAAGAGTAAGTTTTATCTTCAAATCGCATACAGGAAAGTTGAACAGATTTTTTGCAAAGGAAGTCCAAAACTCGGTGACCATGGAATTTTTCCTGTGCTAAACAACACAGTTGGATATACTCTGAGAGAAAAAAATAAAATTCTGAAGAAAAGAAAGTATACAGGACTTTTCAATTGCAATGACCCATATTAGTTTAATAGCAGCCACTGTAAGATCTTTGCATTCCCAAAACACCTGAAAACAATCAATAGAAATTTTACAATGTCAGATATGCCATGGGAAATGAAATTTCTCAGTGTCTTTGGGGTATCCCTAAAGAGAAGTATTCTGAGGATTTCTGTTCATGGATTAAAGACTTACAACACATGAAACTGGTAACAGGAAATGCCTTTAGAAATTGAAACTATTAAGAATATGTGTTACGTACTTTTCTTACTTTTAGATGACATGTTGCATTATTTATTGAACGACCCTCGATTTTTATTGAATCCAGCCTTAGATACCGATGCTAATAACATGATATGAAATAAGAAGTGATTTGCGGTGTCTTGCAATGATTGCAAAAGCCTGAACATTACGTACACTATGTGTTATAGAATACATGACTGAAATAGAGGACAAATCTACAAATAAGTATACAAACCATGACCGTTTCTCTGAATGCCTGGATACCTATCGTTTTTTAACGTCAAATATATTTGTTGATCAATTTGCAATTAGAAAATACATTGCTGATATTCTGATTCGCTTTTTCTGTAAAAATATTGCAGATTTGACAATTTTCCCTATATCATATGATTATCTGTAATCTTTAACTTAAAAAAAATGCTGAGGATAAATTTATATAACATTGTGGATTCAGATATACTTTTATGAGTATTTTTGAATACTTAATGACTGCTAACTTTATAAACCTGAGGATCGCACTATCTTTAATCAGAATTAATGGAAACAGATACATTCTTGTAGTCTTTTTACAGTGTAAATTTTCTTAACGCCAAAATTCTAAGAGATAATAAATATGATAATGATTATCCCTAACAAAAATTTACTGTAGGTTACCTTGCAATGGGCCTCTTGTATTTAAACAAGTAAATGGAGCTACAAAAATTCCTGTATTGTTAAAGGTAATCTTCGAGATAACGTATTTTTAGCATCAAATTATGGGTAAAATGATCCCATACGTATTGCACATGAAACGGATCGATGGGTACAAAACCGTAGGACAAGGTCATATAAGCAATCAAAAGGCAGACGTAAACAGAGCCCTAGAGACGAAGTGGAAACAAAAGTTAAAATCAATTAGCATAAAGAAAGGATTTATTTACTGTTACCAACATGATACTAAAGGTAACTTGTTAATTGGTAAACACCGTTATTTTTTATTAATTATCACGCACATAATTTTTTTAATGCTTGTTTAGATTTGTGAACAAGGAAGTAAATTAAAATCAATAAGGATGTATATGGTTGGCCGTTCTACTCACAATTATTTAAATGATCGAAGGACATAGTAGAAACGAAAGTTCCGAACATGTATAATTATCATACAATTTTCTTCAAAAGTCTGGATACATATGATTTTTATTCTTAGAATGTACATAGAGTGATCAATTTTCAATAAGAAAATCTTAAATGTGCTGTAGGTAGTTATATTTGCATTTCCTGATAATTTATTCGAAATTTACCAATGTTTTATTATATAATATGATTAACTTTAAAGATGAAGTTTTAAAAAACAATAAATACACATTGGCGTAAGAAGCAAATTGAAAAGGAGGGGGGGTTAGTGTAAAAAAAAGTATACCTTCCAAAAAACCTAACAACAAATTGAAAAGGGGGGGGGGGGTTAGTGTAAAAAAAAAGCATACCTTAAAAAAAACCTAACAAGCAAAAAGAAAGGGAAATGTCCATTCCCCAAACAAGAAACCTAGCTATTTCGTGTGGGATGGGGGGTGAGGGTTAGGTTCGAACTCCAGTACCAAACTTTTTTCCAAACACTACCACTTAATTCCCAATTTTAAGCTATACTGCGACGTGTCTGTGGAAAGTGGAGGGGGGGGGGGGCTAAACCTACACAGCAATGTACAATGTCTGTACTAAGTAGAAATTTGGGAAAAAAAAGTTGGGGGTTTGGGGGGGGGGGGGGGGGCGGTTCCGATGCCTATGATACACATAACTGAGAATTTAGAGAAGTCTTTGTGACGTCTTCATTTTCACCATTCTCCATCTCTCAATGGTTGATTTTCAGAACCTCGGGATCAGACTACCTTAATGATCTACATTTTGATAATTATGTTAATTAAATGAAAATTTGTTCACTTAAACATGTTAAAACAATATATTCTTTTATAAATGTAGACCCATTATTGTTGTAGATATTAATGACACAATATTGTAATTTACAGAGAAATCTCTTTGACTGAGGGAAATCAACACAGGATTCTGTTATAAAACCTCAGGATAAAGAAATAGATGTCTGCTGTCAGTGATGTATAGATTTGTGTTCCAGAAAGCTGTCACAGTGTCAGGTGTTAGTGCGTGTCGTCATATTTCACGTGTTACATCAGACAGGGTCTGGATCAGTGATAGGAAAGGCAATCTTATACTGACAAACACAAAAGGTGAAGAACTTTATCGTGTGACAGATATAGGTAGTTATTGGGGAGGACACACTGTGGACTCTAACGGTGATCTAATTTATATAGACAGTGAATATAACATCATTAAACTGTCTACAGAGAATAAAGAAAAGATTACGATAATACAGTACAACAACACGTCACCATGGAGACCAGAGTGTGTCTACAGCTCCCCCTCCACTGGAGACCTGCTGGTCGGGATGTCTTACTTCACTAATTATACATCTAAAGGCAAGGTAGTGCGGTATAACTCCACAGGAGAAAACATCCAGACCATACAGCACCACAACAACATCACAGGTCAGGAACTGTATAGTAAACCTCTCTACATCACGGAGAACCGCAATGGAGATGTTATTGTGTCTGACGTGGACCGTGGTGTAGTGGTGACAGATCGTGACGGTAATTACCGATTCACCTACACAGGTCGTACATCAGGATCAGGACTATGGCCACATGGAGTCTGTACTGACGCGCTGTCACACATCCTGCTGTGTGATGATATCACCGGGTCAGTACAGATGTTAGATAGTGAGGGTCACTATCTATCAGAGATACAGACATCACTACACGGGATAGACTCACCATGGGGCCTGAGTTATGATGATGACACACACCTACTGTGGGTAGGGGCACTCAACAACAACACAGTCAACATATACAGAGTGGTAGATACAGACTCTTTGACTGGTAAGTAACATTGTAGTGTATTTAAGTGTTTTGATTAAAAATATCAAATGTCTGTGATTAAATAACTATTATTAGTTTTTAATGATAAAGTCATTAAAGAAAAAATATAGTAAATTGATTTTGTGTAGTTATTCAAAGTAAGTATTGCTTTACCACTGTTTAAAAGAGATTACAAACCTTAACAAAGATTTTTTATACCCACATATATTTTCAAGAGTAAGACATGTAAGAGAATTAATTCAAAATATGCTGAAAGAAGTTTATAAATTTTGATAAAATATAGCAGAGTTTTATTATGTCTCTGTATTCCCTTGTAATGTAAATTCATATTTGGTCAAAATAGTGCATCTTGGACATGTTGGAGAGGACCTTTAAATGGTAAGGATGATGCTATTTATAGGTTAGCGATGGTCCCAATATAGGTTAGGGATGGTCCCATTATACTTTAGGGATGGTTCCATTATACTTTAGGGACAGTCTAACTATATTAACGTTAGGGATGATGCTATTTTATAGGTTAATGATGGGTCCATTATAAGGTCTTGTATAGGAAAGGTATGGGGTTAAAGATTTACATTTGACTGTTTACATGGTTTAGCATTTTTTTTCTTCTTAGAAATAGCTTATTTGATAAAATAATATACAGTGTCTTTGAATCATTAGTGAATACCATATTGACATTTATATTCCATTTCTGTTTTCTTGGTTCAGTTAATGATGTTGGTGGGTTGGTACAGTATAGATAAATTACACAATATCTTTTATAAAGTATGTTTTGCGTGATAAGCATCAAGAGGGGCTTCTGTGTATTACTCTGGACATAGAACGGTTTTCCCTGTTCAGTATCTCGAGACAGGCACCAAGTTTGGTACACTACTTCCTTTAAAAGATTATATGCATTTGTTGATTCTGATGGTCAAGGTTAATGGTCTTGACCTTCCCAGTGACCTTTGACTTTATCATTACGTATTTTTTAAAACTCAGTTTTAAAGAAACAATTCAGCTTATTTTCATCAAACTTCATACAGATATATACATGTAAATACTTAAGTTGCATTATGAACTCTGCGCGGGACATCCATCTCGTATAGACATTTTTCTTTTTTTTATATGAGAAAGAGGGGAGAAAAAATCCCCGAGAAGAAAAAAAACTAGATTGTTATTATTTTGAAGAGCATTATGTCCCATTGATCTCCTCTTGTGCATTTTCTGGTCAATTGCTGCCTCTAAAGTCCAACAATGACATTTATGACTTATTTTATTTGAAGACTTCGTACATATGTGTATTTAATTTTGTCATAACAGGCCTTCCTCTGGAGAATATAATTTGCAACAGACATCCGAGAGGTGCATTATCAAAGTTCTGTATGCAGTGTGAGGTTCCCTTGTGTGAGGAATGTGTCAGCTCTACTGATCACGGAAGACACGATATTAAAGACGTAGAGATGATGTTTAATGAAATTCACAAGAAAAAAGGTTTGTATCAACATTTGACATATTTATGCCAGGCCTGAGGTCAATTTAATAGTTGAAGGCCACTGATGGTAGGGGTCAAAATTGTTGACCAGTTTATTAAAAAAATGAAGTTGTGATACAGCAATTTAAAAAAAAAATGTTAAGGAAAAGGTGTGTTTTGTTTTATGAGCTTTTTTTATAATTTACTTTTGACATTACACGTACAAGCACTATTTGTTATTTTATTTTAACTTATAAAAAGGTAAGTTCTTATATGTGTTTCTTTATTTTGTAGACCTAGATGCAGTTTTAAAGTGCCTTCTACTTTGTCATTCATGCAAAATAAATCTGAATGAAGGACAGTGGAAGAAAAAGTTTCATACTGTTGCCAAATTTTCCAAATTTAAAAAGATAAAAAAGGAATCCATTCTTGAAACTTTAGATGAATGCAAACCAATTTTGCAGCAGAAAGATTATGAAGTCATGTTTTCTTGCAAATTCTTCAGACACACCAGTTTTCTTCGATTTGCAAGAGATCCACAGTTTGTAGATGTTTTTCTGACTTGGGCAGAAAAAGACAACATCGCTGAGTACTGCAGGTCATGGCTTTATCCAAAGAAAGAGGGGGAAGTCTTTTGCTGGTTATCACCACAACAAACAGAACGGTTGATAGAAAAACTTGGAGAGGATGTTTTCATCCACCCAACATGGCAGGACACATCAATTCATAATGCTGCATTTAGCAAATGTAGGTTTTTGTTTATTACTAAAGATTACGAAGCAAAAATATGGCATCTTCCTACCTGTTTATCTTTCTGTTTATCTTTTATTTTTCCTATAATAGGTCTACATAATACTTCATTTTGTTAAACTTAACTTGCTTAAAAAATTGAATATTTAGCCCGAGATTAATTTGGTATGATTGAGACATTGTAAATCTTTAAAAAGTCTTAAAAATCCTGAGAATTACAAGGCCGAAAAATGTCCTAAATAACGTTTTATGTCCAGATCTGCTGATTAAGTATACTTTATAGTATAGGGAAAACACTTTCCCAAGACTATATAAAAGTTAAATAGATACAAAACATCAAATCGCCGACAGAAAATATTACGAATATATTGAGCATGATTAAGTAATTCCACAGAAACAAGTCCACAGAAAAATTTTATTTAATAGGGAAGACGGAAAAAATGACATGAATAATTTTTTTTTGCAAATTATACACTTGTTTTACCTTTTTGTGCATTACTTAATATTCTTATTTTCAGGTGAAAGCTTAAGTGCTCTTTGAATATCCATTTTTCATCTTCCTTTCATTTGTCTGTATATAA